TCATTCAGGCAAGCTTCTTAATCGAAACCGTTTGGACAATGTCGGATTTTCAAAGAGAAGTGGGGGAAAAAAAAATTAAAAGTAGCCAAGCAAAATAAAGTGCATGGTAAGAAAACTGAAAGCAGTACAAAATATTTCCTGATGTCAACACTTCGTTTCAATAGATCTTAAAACTCCTATTCATTTCCAATGAAGGTACTGTGAGCTTTGCCATGGGCAACCTAACTGCATGATCATATTTGGAAGTATTGGGGGAAAATATAGCCTTAATACGCCACTTTGGAAAAACGTATTCTTTTTTGTTCTGTTTAGAAATAAGTCCCAACCATGTAGCTATATACGCCAGAATACCAAAAAAAAAAAAAAAGCTTACCAAAAAAATGTACTCCTCTGTTTTAAACATACATTTATATAACTTGTCATTTCATAAAAATGAATTAAGTATTATATGAGCCAAATGTTTCAATTCCACACAAGAGTGGTTTCTGGGACTCTTGGCAGGATGCCACTATATTCATTTTTATTTCAGACACAATGTGAAGTCTTTAATTTTAATATACTTTGTAACTATAATGGTTATAAGGCATATACTGTACTAATTCATCCTCATCCTTTCCTAGTCCTGGGGAGATTTTACTGAGGAACAGGAAGAGTTGTTGATTTCATGTCTCTTTCGAACTTTAAAATGTGGTGTAAGAGTGGCCTGGGGTGAAGGAAAGCAGAAAGGGAGAGAACTGGTCATTGGGCACTCTGGGCTCAGTGCCCTAAATGCCGGCTGTGGAGTTGGCTATCATCCTTCTTCGTCCCTGGTCTCCGAATTCAAGTGATGGCCAAGTAGAAAGGCAAAGAGTGGAAGACTTCGCTGCTGCCTGGGGCTCTTCCCCAGCTCCTGAGTTCCTGCTCTGGCAGCTCTTCAGCTAAAACAAGAAGAGTATTGGCAAGTCAGCTGATGGGAGCCTCTCTGTCACTGCCCCGTGTGATGGCAGCGTGGGCACGGGCCAAATTCTTCTTCACAGCCCCTTTATTCTCTGAAACCCCACTGGCCACGAGTCAGAGAACCAAGCCGGGACAAGAACACTGTAGGAGAAACTGGCCCCATTTAATCCAAGATACCCTGCCAGAAAAAAAGAGAGGCTGATACCTAGTAAGAGGGAACACAGTGGCACCAACAAATACATATGTAAATCTATTAATCCCCAGCGATCGTCCTGAAGTTTCCGGGTGACCTCGGCAGCAGAGTGGTATTTCTTCATTAAAGGGGCTGGGTGGAGGTGGCAAGAGAGAAAAGTAATTTTCATAATCTATATGACTGTATTACTGAGAACACCAGAATAACATGTTTCAAGCGATCATGGAGACTTCAGCTCTGCTCTTCCTCTGCCACTCTCCTAATCAGAGAATTTCTTCCTGTGCCTTGTTTACTGTTGATATTTTCTGGCTGATTGGAGAGGAATGACATTTTGACAATTTACTGTAGCAGTAAGCACTGTACAAACAAAAGGTGCTGATGAAAACTGGAACCCATTATTATGTAAATGATGGCTGAGTAACACAGAATCCATCTCCCAGTCACCATCATTGAGACCAGTTTTACTCAATGATAATAATTTTCATGATTGCAGACTTCAGAGTGATCAGAAATATGCTTTCGCTGTTGCATTTATCTACTGCTGGTACTTGACCCTTAATTAAATTCTGAAACTTTTTTATATAATAAAGTAAAATACAGCTGACACTTCTGTTCAAACAAAGAGGCTCACACACAGATCCACCAAATAAGATAAAGGTATTTCAGACTTACCTCGCTGTATTTATAGTAAACATGGATTGCACCGTGTATTTTGAAAGGGAACTTTAAGTTTAAAATGCAGATGTGTGTTTTCAAGTAATTTCAATTCTGCACCTCGGCTCTGCTCTCCTTAAATGATGCTGAATCTCTGCAAGCTCATCTTGGACACGTCATAATAAAAAAAAATCTGCTTTAAAGACATTTAAATGTGCTCTGAAAATAAGTTATGTGGATTCTTTAAACCTTCTGTCTTAATATCTAGACTATTCAAAGTGAGTCTTCAAAACTATGCCACTTATGAAGATCCACACAGCTTAGTAAGCTATTGCATCGAGTTTGTAAAGGAATATTTTCGTCATAAATTTGTTCTTGTCTTAAAAAGAGAAAGCCAAGGCAAATTTTAAAGCAGCATTTTGACTTTAATGAAAAATTGATTGGCTAAAACAGATGTCAGACTGAAGCTACAAAGCGCTCAGGCAATATGCAGGTATCAGCTGTTTTCTTAAGAATGGCTGACAGTGAGGAGACTTTGGCTAATGTGTTCTTATTCCCTTTAAACCCTGCCAATGCTCCAGAGCATTTATTTACCTTGGAGTTTCCTCCCTCTTTCAGGGCAGGAAGAAAGATCTTCATTTTGAATATATTAATAAATACAAGTCAGCTTAAAGGGGCAACAGTGTGAGCCCGGCTTTTAATATTTCCTTAGATATAACCCTTTCTAACCAGGCGGCTCACAGAGCCAATGAGCTAAGAAGGTAATTACTTAAGTGGGTTTCATGAAGAGTAGAAAGATGATTGTGCCACATTAAATAACAATTGTGTCCTTAATGATGTGTTGGGCTGTAATGCAAACATCCCTACCATCACGGGCAGGCGCTCCAGAGTATCTTTCTAATGACTCCGGTAGTTCCCTTCCCCCTGCCAGGATTTGGGGCTTTCAGATCCTATGTAAACACTAAGTGAGCTGGTATATTTTTTTAAACTGCAGTGCCTGCAGCTGCGTGGTCATTGATAAATTGGCTATGAATTGCTGAAATACTTCATATGAATATAAACATTGTTGTAGTTTTGTAGCTTTAAGAAAGACAGAAATGTACTTGACTTGAGAGAGAAGACTGCAGTTCCATAGCACAGCCTTCCAGAAAGTTCCTTCTTTGTTGTGTGTGAAAGCTCTATTTTCATGAAATCCAGCGAGGTGGACTCAAAAAAGTCTGAGGGGGTGGGAATGTGGTGAGAAAATTCATTATTTTAAAAAAATTAAAGATTGAATTAAATGTCAGTTGGCATTTAAGTATCTATCTTAAATAGAATCAGGAAATAATATTACAGCATATTAGATTTTATTGCTTCAGAATGTGTAGTATTCTGAATGCCCATGTCCACTCCACTTAGTGTAGAAATGTTAAAGAAAGACCACCATGATAAATATGTCCAATAACTGAGTTAGGATTCACATTAGCAGCCATCTAAGCTTAGAAGAATTTTCACCATAATATAAACTTGAGACATGAAAAGGATAATTAGTCCATGGCTATAAACTTTTCTGTCTGCCCTTGGATGCTGTCATAATGACTATTTCCCCCATAGCCCACAGTAGTATCACTTTGTGAACATGCATATTGAATCTCTAGTCATTTACTCTCTGATGTTAACATTAATAAATCTGAATTTGAATAACATGATTTAAATAAAATGTACAGTCCAAATGCTGAGAACGTACCTTACACTAAATTTTAGCAAGTTCTTTAGTGTTATACCCATTTCAGAGAACAGAGAAATAAGATGCCTAAAATTAGAAAACGCTTCCAAACTTTGAATGTAAGCTACATTGTGGGAGTTGAAATGAACAAACCTCTTACCTATTTTTTGTTTGTTTTATTTATGGAATGAAGACATTTGGATAAGAATTGATTACTGAAACGAGACTCCTGGGCTGGAGGAAAACCATGATCTACCATTTATGTTGACAGATACTGTGTGTTTGGTTCTAGATCTGAATTTTGAAATGACTTGTCACAAATTCAAATTTGGCAATCATGAGTGAAGTACCCATGATGTGCCAAGCATCTAGCTTTGCAGATACAAAAGCACTTACCATATCTGAGCATGGTAGGGTATACAAGTTCCTGGGTCCTGGCCTGACCTCATCAGGCACTGCCAAATTTGATGCCTCCTTCCTGCTCACAGCAGTCCTTTGGGATAGGATGTTAGATGCCACCGACTAGCCACATAACTCACCCACTCTGTCAGAGTCTGGGTATAAGCCAGTTCTGACAGACTCCATAGCAAGCCCTCTTTATAGCATGTCTGGGATGCAGTGGGTGAGACCAACCTGTCAATGTCCAAGTGCAGATGCAATAATAGAGCTTCAACCAATTACTGAAGGATGCCAGACCCAACCTAGTACAGATGCTAACAAAGACTACTTTTTATCTCCAATTTCCTTTCTTTTCTCCTTCATCGCCCCCAGAGTGTAATGGAGCAATCTTGGCTCACTGCAACCTCCGCCTCTCTGGTCCAAGCCATTCTCCCGCCTCAGCCTCCTGAGTATCTGGGATTACAGGCACCCACCTTCATGCCAAGCTAAGTTTGGTATTTTTGTAGAGACAGGGTTTCACCATGTTGGCCAGGCTGGTCTTGAACTACTGACTTCAGGTGATCTGCCTGCCTTGGCCTCCAAAAATGCTGAGATTACAGGAGTAAGCCACTGCACCCAGCCCCAATATTCTTTCATACTGGACACTGTGTAAGCTAGTTATTCAGCAAGTATTTTGCACTTAACTCTAAGTAGGTAAGTATTTTGCACTTAACCCTAAATAGGTAAGTATTTTGTGTCCATGTGTCCAAATGAGAAATAAAGTATGTAAAGTATTTCCCCAAAGCTTTGATAAATGAATCCCATAGCTAGAATGGCAGAAAAACCATGGACACTTCCATGGGGAGTGGGTGTCTGCCTTATCCTGGCACAATGCTTGGTCCTCCAATATCATTTCAGTAACATTGTCAAATGGGAGAAACCAGGTCTGGTGCGTGGGAAACAAACTGCCTCAAAATATCTTGAATGCTTGTTTTAGGGGTGAAAATTCATTTGAATAAGAATAGTTGGTTACAGTTTATTACGTGCCAGCCACTGTTTAAAGTGTTTGATGTACATTAACTTCTAAAACAACTCTATAAGTTAGGTACTATGATTTGCATCTCCATTTCACAGATGAGGAAACTGAGCCATCAAAACTGAGTGACTTGCTTGAGACCATGCAGCTATGGAGGGAAAGACCAGGATCTGAAGCCAACTGGGTCTCCCAAGCCTGAGTCACTGAACCATTTCACTTCTTGGAAAAACTTAATAGTCACTGCGGCTCACCTAGACCACGGACAGCATGGAGTTAATGAACTTTGATCAAAAACTTATGGTGCATTGACTGAGCATTTATTCTTTTAAGACAATATATTTGGATGTCTTTTGCATGTACAGAATTCAAATTATTAGTAATGTCCACAAAAGTTGCCCTATATTTTTATGCTGAAATACAATAAAATGTCAACTTCGTTCCAGTGGCCTTTATACTGTACACATTATGTTTAATGTCATTCTGTATTGTAGCTAAATTTATTATCTAACTTGTTTATGCCAATAAGCTGATGCATATGAAAGATACCTGAAAAAAATTATCTTCTCAAAACACTTCAGAAAAAGCCATAAAAGTATTATGATAAAATATCAGAGGAAAATATAAAATTGAGGGGAGGTGAAATTATGCTTTGTAGCCCTTGCTCACGATATTTGAGAAAGTAAACATTTCTGTCCTTTAAATGATTTCTGAATTTCTCTAACAATGCTGCTCTATTTTCTCAGTCAATCTTGCTGGATAGCTCAGTTTTCCTTTGCAGTTTGCAGAGAATGTGGAGGGAATATAGGCCTGTTTTTTCTCTTTCTCACATAACACTGCCGAAGTCATCCCTCACCTCCAGAGCTGGCCTTGTCCCTAGAGCCCACATGTGCTCTGTGGCTCAGAATGGTCTACAGGACCTTCCAGATCCAAGCACAGGGTAAAGGTTTGAAGTGTATATTTTTAATTTTTAGTACATATTTACTGAGCTCCCAGCGCTGTGCACACAATTGTTCCCTCCATGGAGCATGGTTGAAAATTCCCAGAGAGAAAATTCCCTTTCTCGGAACACAGTGTGAGACAGTTCCCTGGCTGATAGCCCCCCAAGGCAAACTTGATGACAGGCGCTTTCAAGATTCTAACAAGAGCCCTGGGCTCTCATTGCATGCATGACATCAAAAGCACTTTATTTTCTTACACAATAGTTCTACTGGGGCTCTCCAGGCTGCAGACATGGAATTGGGGCTTACGGGCCAGGAGATTGAATAAGGATACCTGTAGGGACCCACATGGAGAAAGCGAAGGAGACGAGGCAGGACTAGAAGGGAAAAGGAGGCCTCAACATAGTCCAGCTGATCTTGGGGAGTTTTGATCTTGGGGAGCTCTGGAGATAAAAGCCTTTCCATGCAGTCTCCAGTTGAGGCAAGAGGGTCAGGTCTTTATTCCCCTACACTAATCAATGGCTGATACAGGATTCCCCAAGAAGAGGCATGACCTTAAGTCAGGTTGCTCTCTCCAGCCAGGGACGCCTTCGGGAGAGGCTGGCAGCTGATCTGCTACCACCATGTCCAGCAGCTGACGAAAGGTGTGTTTTAAGTCCTAATGAGATGTGGAGAGCCCAACACAATATCCACTGAACTCTCTCTGTCTTATCTTAAATCTAGAATCATGTGCCATTTATATTATTAAATAGAAAGCAAAGAAATCCAGAGAGCTAACAACTCTCAAAAAAGACAGGATTTTAGAGGTACCCAAGGTCAGTGCCCCCTAAGGTAGAAATTACTCCTACAATGCCCTAGCAGTGAACCATCTCTTTGCACACCTCCAGAGATGGGAGTTCATCACTGGGAACCTCTAGTTGTAATGTGGTCTTTACTTATATCTCCTAGGTGGAAATTGCACTTTGATAACAGTGACTATATTGACAAATTACTGTCAGTGCGCTGAAACTAGGAAAGAGTTAGTGTGTTTGTGCAAACTAATTTGGACCTGGGCCTGAAATAACAGAGCAGGTCCTTCAACTTATTTTACAGATATTTTCCACTAGTCAGAGTTATCTTTTTAAGATAAAAGTCAGATTAAATTTCTTTAGACTCTGAGCTCTCCACAATTGGACAGTAACTCATACCAGTCACCCTGCCTATGAGCCTCCCTGGTCTGAAGCCTGAACCTGGGTCAGCCCTCATCTCACACCCTCCCCTCACCCTTCAGCCCCTTTGCCATAGCCATGTGGGCCTTGCTGGTGCTCTGCAGATGCCCCCACCTCATTCTGCTACAGGACTTTGCACTTAATGGGAAGCATAGCTTGGTGATCTCCCCTGAGACCTTTGTGAGTTTCTACTCAAATGCCAAATTCTCAGAAGAGTTTCCCTGCCACACCCCATCTCCTGAGTCTCTTAACTCCTCATGCTGCTTGCTTTCTCTTCACAGCTCTTATTAATTTCTAATAAGGAAGATATATATGTGTATGTTTGAGTGTATGTATGTTACACATATATGTATACATACACACATATACATACAGACATATGTGTACATATGCATACATACACATATATACACATTCACATATATATGTATCTGTCTCTAGTTAACCTTTGAACAACGAAAAGGTTAGGGCCACTAACCCTCCTCAGTCGAAAAGCCACCTACGACTTTTGACTCCCCTGAAATGTAACTACTCATAGCCTACTGTTGGCCAGAAGCCTTGCTAATAACATAGCCAATTAACACATATTTTGTGTGTTATATGTACTATATATTGTATCTTACAATAAATAAAGCTGGAGAAAAAAATGTTATTAAGAAAATCATAAGGAAGAGAAAATAGAATTTACCATTCATTAAGTGGAAGTGGAGCATCATAAAGGTATTCATCCGTCTCCATGTTGAATAGGCTGCTGGGGAGGAGGAAGGGGAGGAGTGGATTTTGCTGTCTTAGGGCACAGAGGTGGAAGAAATTGTATCTGTAAGTGGACCTATGCACTTCAAACCTATGTTACTCAAGAGACAACTGTGTAATAAAAATGTGCATGTGTGTATTGAACCACTACCTCTCTAAGCTTCTAGAACAGTTCCTGATACATAGCAGCATTAAATAAATATTTGTTGGGTGAAGTCATAAATAAATGACATCAATGAACAAATAGGTTGCTTAAAAGGTATGGATAATGTAGTTTGTTAGTTACTGAAATTTTTAAAAAGTGTATGAGAATAAATATCAGCTAAAATAAAATAATCTAATGAATGGAAATAAACATGTTTTCATACTGAGTTACAGTCAAAGAGAAGAGCATTTTTATCACAGTTCCTTTCTACACACTTTGACCACTGGGATCATGTTTCATTCTGGTTTTATTCTCCAAACTCCCATCACGGTACCTTAAATTATTAGGTACCCACTTGATGTTGGTTGCATTTAATGGATTTAGTCTATTTAACCTCATCATCAAGACAGAAGACCACAGTCCCTGATGCTGTTATGAATGTAGAAGGCCAGCATGTTCCAAGTGTCAGTAAGTCTTTTTCTAGATCATCTTTAATACTATTAGACTAGTGTACCAATTTTCCTCAAAATGTATAAGTAGACTTGTGAAAACAACATTCAATATTGCATTGCTATTTAAGAGGATTTGCTAACTTTCATAGGAATGAAAGGCCCATTGAGTGGAGCTCAGAAGCACTAGCCCATCACGACATTTTATGGGTGTACTCTTCTCAGCCCCATCGTGCCCAGAGGTGTTGCCTTCATGCTCTACAGGACGACTCAGGACACACTTGGCTGTGGGAGGGAGGCATGTGGGGAGTCAGGCTGGGTTCCTGTATTTTAGTTTGGTAAACCAGTCACTCAACCTCCTTAGGAGAAACTGGTATCATGTATCTTGAAGCAAATAAATGACTGACTCTGACATTCCCCTTTTAGGATAATCTGTTTCCCTAGAAATGCTCTCCAGCATTCTTGCCACCATGACTTTGGGACACACTGACCATGAGGATGAGCTGGTCAGTGATGGACAGGAGTCCAGATTATCTGAGACATAATAATAAGGACACTGATGTGTAAATATTTGAAATATCCAATAGGAAGCATTCTAACTGTGCAAACATGATCCACATCTCATGGAGTTCAGGCCAAGGCTGCTAACAGTGACTTTTTGGAAAAGAAAAACAAGGAAGAGGAAAGAACAGAGAAACAAGGAATGCAGAAGAAAGCAGGAACCACTAAAACAGGAGCAATATGCCCTGTGTATTCTGTTTCCTTGTAAAGCTATGAAGCATGTTAAGGAGACACTTCATTTTTTGAGGATTCATGCTCTTGTTTATATTATAATGAAAACAACCATGTTCTTTCTAAAAATTTAGGCAATGCACTCATGCACGTAAAAGTAAAACAAAATCACCTGTAATCCTACCACACGCAGTTCAGCACTTACTGATCTTTTCATAGGGATTCTAAAAATATCCTTTTCTCTATAGAATACAGTTAACTTCTGTTACCTAATGACTAAGTGTTAACCATTTTTAAATTCTGCAATTTTGTATTTGGCTAGAAAAAAGGAGCAGTCACTCTATGTGGTATTTCTGTATATTTATTCATTCATTCAATAAACATTTTTAAAGTACCTACTATGTTCCAAGAAGTGTGCTATTTGCTTGTGCTATAAAATGAAAGACATCATTCTTGTTCTCAAGCAGTTCAATGAGAAAGGAAAGAAATTACAGTTCAGTGAATTATAAGCATCTTGCTTAGCTAGAGACCAAGATTTTCAAAATACATAATAAATGAACTTAGTATTGATGAGTAAAAGTTGGTTAATAGGAAAAAAGTTGGAGGAAAGAAACAGGGATGGGCAAAGATACGGAAGTGAGAGTCAACATGGTGCATTTACGAACAGACAGGTGGTCCAGAGAGTTGGAGCTCAGGATATGGGAGCAGAGGATGGATCCTGTTAAAAATACACAGACTTTTCTCAGGCATGGGACTCAGAGTTCTGACAAGGCCTTATGTTAAGAGGAATCTAGGTGCAGTGTAAAGGATGGATTGGGAAGCCCAATTTGGGTCCTGGAGGACCCAGAATGGCAGGAAGCATGCCAGGAGCTCTGCAGAGGTGAGAGTGAGGACCAGGAAGAAGCAAGAGCTGGGTGGGAAAGAGAAGGGTCAGCATCAGCTGTCAAGGTATGGGGCAGGGCAGGACAGAGGACTCATCCTTCTGGGAAAAATGGCTGACAAGTTTGAGGATGCCCAAGCACCAGCTCAGTGGAGAACCAGACAACAAACTAAGGAAAGGAAGTCAGAACTCAGCCAGCAGAACTGTGATCTAGAACAGGAATCAACAACAACGTGGGATTTGGTGGTTATACGGATGTTTGAGGCAAAAACCAAGACAACCCGGACACCAGGCGTGTAGTAGCAAGCCTACTCCACTTCTCCTGACTTCCTTCCCAGAATGTCCATCTTCAGAAAATCGCAGGTGTTGGTCTACCCAGGTTTTTCTGTTTCACTGCTCACACTTCGTCTAAGTCCATCCAAAGTGTTCACTCTTTTCCTGCCCCCTTTTCTCTCTTCCCCTCCTCTCTGCTCACTTTCTCTCCCTCTCACATACACACTTAGAATGACTTTCCCCTTTCCTTCATGCTGCCAATTCCTGCCTAGATTTTGTAAAGAACAGTCTTTTTCCTATTCTCTATCTTCGTTTCACATTTATGCCACAAAGGAATCTCATCCCTCTCTCCTGCAATGAGACCTGATGTGAAACATCTGTATCACGGAGGGCTATGGTGGTGAGGACATGAGTTTGGAAGGGTCCTTGGAAATATTGCCAAAGCTACACATAGACACACACGTGTACATGTACACACAAGTCTTGGCCTATGCTGCAACTTTTAAAATTAAACCTATGTTTCTTTAAGCATAAGTATTTTAGATCAAACTTTTTAAAGGATCTCTTACTCAATTTTATCACCTTATTATTTTTCTACTTGGTTTAACTTATCAGCATGCTGACATTTGGCTTATTTTCTTAGTGTACCTAGCATTTCAGCAATGCAGTTGCTGTGGATTAAACAGACTTTTATAGGTTAAATCTAGAACGTAATGACAACTTGTAATAAATTCCTTTGGAAAAATGTAATCTGAGATCCCAAGCAATGTACTTCGAATGAGTATAGAAGTTACTTACTCATAATTGGGAGTTTCCAGATTAGAGAACATATATATAGAGAGAGAATATATATATATATATATATATATATATATATATATATATATAGAGAGAGAGAGAGAGAGAGAGAGAGAGAGAGAACATATATATGATATATATATCTCATATATATGTTCTCTAGAACATATCCATATATATGATATATATGAGATATATATATAAGATATATATCATATATATGAGATATATATGAGATATATAGAACATATATATATTATATATATATATCTTATGTCAAAAGACATATTATTATGTCTTTTGAAAATCTTGGTCTCTAGCTAGGCAAGGTGTTCCTACTTTATATATATGTAAATATATCTAGATAGAACTCTAAATATCATTGTGTTGTAGCTAAAGATAATGTTCCATAGAAGGAAAAAGGAACACATTTATCAGTTATCCATGTTTAACATCAGTTACAAAAATCTAATCATTAGTTGAAGAAAACCTTATGTCTCAATCAGAAAAATGTCTATAGGAATATTGTTTACTAAATTTAGATTCTTGGAATGAATGGCAAAAATAAAAGTCAAATAAGTTTGTGAATTCCAGACCTAATTTCATTTTCTGATGGCCACTTTCAGCAGTGGAGTATCTGTAAGCTAAACAAAAGCTTGCAAACAAAAATCAGAAGAAAGTACAATTAATTAATTTGCAAATGTGTTCTTTCCTGCCACAGATCAATCTTGAGGCATAAATATCACAAGCAGGAATTTAGAAAAACATGTCCCAAAATATATTCTGTAAAAGATTAGTGCCCTACAAGATGTTAACAGTTGTTCTGTTTAAAAAAAAAAAAAAAAAAAACTCAGCCAAGTAGATTTGAGCATGTTAAGTTAATCACAGTTAAACAGGCTTTCTTTCTCTAGAACTTCTCAGAGGTTTTACTACATTGACATGCATTGTGAATTTCTAAAGAGTGGCATTATTTCTCAGACTTACTGAGCACCTCAACAACCAGTAGTAGTGCTTTATAACTCACATGGCAGGAAGCTAAGGCTCAGAATGGGAAGACCTTTCAACATGGGTGAAAAAAAATTGTTTTAAACTGCACTGTGAGCCAGAATTCAGTATCAGCATGCTCAGGTGTCCGGAAGGGACTCGTCAGAGATTTCTGATAAATGCAAGGTCTGAGAAACAAGGGAGTCAGCCAGCAGTCACAATACCCATGCCTTTCAAACAAATTTAAGGGGAAAAAAATTAAGAAAAGCTCTGCTCCCCAGAGCTGCTGTTCTTCAAGGCACTATGTTCAAGAAGTGGGAGCAGGGAGTGTGGGGGACAGTATAGGGAGGGATCTCTACAGCACCAAAGGTGACTAAGGGGACTGAGCAGCAAATATTAATATTCTTGTGTTCATGGGCACCTTGGAGGGATGGGTCAATCTAGCCATGATTGTGGAAATCTCCTTAGACGTTCAGTGTAAACTGCCACGGGGATTGGTCTTTCCCTCTGAAAGCTAGACCCTTATTGCTTTATAATGACAGTGCTTTCTATTTTGAATCAATATTTAATTCATTTATGCTAACCCCCAAAGCTGAAAGTACTGTCAGAGTTGGCAAGGGAGCTCTAAATTTATGTTCTAATTACCTGACCATTTCATCAAAAAGTAGACATGGTGTCTGTGGTTTAGGAGTTTGAAATAAACCCTATAGAAAGTAAAAAAAAAATGTCAGGCACATAGAGCCCATTCATGCACATGTTTATGGCTTCTCTACCTGCGAAAAGGAAAGGTTCTGTGAAGGTGTAGTGTGGAGAAAGTCGACACAGTTTTCTTGTTCATCAAATTAAGCCAGTGCATATTTTATTCCGCAAAACATGAAATTGGGGTGTGGCTCCTTGAATTTAGGAGGTGTTTTTGTTTTTTTGTTTTTTTAATGCAAAACTTTTCTGAATTGATAAGTGAAACTATCACATGGGAAAGAAAGTTTACAGAGGAAATTTAGTTGGGATTTTTTTTAATGTATGTAAACTCAAGTATTATGAATTAAACTTTAAAAAGATACTACTTTTTGGAAAAGAAATTAAAAACCACTGCTAATGATGATATTATTAGTGTACAACCAGAATAGTTTTCCAGTGTTTTACAGTCGTGATTCAGTGAAATCAATGAGATTATTTGCACTCAGTCAAAACCTTGACTTCTTACTACCAAAGTTGGAAAAATTAGAAGTTAACCATAGTTTGGGTCCTCCTGGAGCCCTTACCTTGGTCCATGTGTGGGATGCATGGCTTAGCCTAAACTGGTCACATGCCCCGCCATGATCACAACAACCCCAGGGACAGATGTGACAGGAAAGTGGAAGGGCATTAACGGTTTCATCACCATTATTGTAGGCCCAAAGCCCACCCTTATGGTGCACTCTGCTCTAAGAGGGCTAGAAACCCAGTATCTTTCATAGTAATGACTTCCAGTTTACAGCCTTCATTTGTTATATTTCCTCAATAGCTGTTGTGTTGAGATTAACTGCATAAATGGTCTGCAGCTGTCTGTTATGAATTAAGGGAGTTTAATCAAAGTATTTCTAATGTACAGCATAATGATAATACATGGGGGAAGTACTATTTAAGAGATAATGATGGCTTCAGAAGATCACTGTTGTAATGTTTAGTGCATATGCCTTCAGCATTGAATTTGTTGTTGTTCTGAATATGCTTAATGGATCACTGAAAAGCTGCCTAATGCGGGATTGTTTGATGGGGCTGACAGAGCTGGAATTAGCCCATTGCTGTTTACTGCATACAGCCATTAAGATTAATTGCTGCCAGATAATTTTGACTGTTTTTATCTTCTGGAAAAAGTGTCACTAATGGGTTTATAAATTGGTTCACTATTACTAATAGTAAGGCCAGTGTAACACAATAGAATGTCAGCTAATTCTAAAGATAAAGGTAAAAAAGTATAAAGTACTATATGGCTTGCTAGTTTTAAGGGATACTGTTATCTAATAACAGACAGACTGATATATGATGCTCATTAATGCTATTTCCTGAGCTTTGGGTTGAACCTAATAGATGCTAATAAAGTCTTATTTGATGTCCCATTAAAAAGCTCAATCTGTTTTCTGCATTAATGCCCAGTGTTGTTTATCACATCTTTGATGACTAAAACCCAAATTCCAATCTGTTTCATAACCAAGCTTTTTCTGTGCGTCTTTATCCCTATTTTGTTTTTCCTACTCATGAAATGTATACAACCAAATCAGAGAAGAATTAACAAAGCACATACATTTGTCATCATGATATACGGTATATAAGTTACCTGTAAAGTTTACAATTCAAGCATTTTTATATAATGTCTAGGCAAGCTTCTAAAAATACTGTATTGCCTTTCTAACCATTGTTTAAGGATTTTTTGCGCTTGAATACAATTTCGAACATATAGATAATTTAGCTTAGTGGTGATTA